TCATATAAAAAATTAATTTTTTAAATGTGTTAAAATAATTTAAAAATGTGTTTTTAAAATTACTTAAAAAAATAAATTGAACAAGAGAGTGTTTTACAATATAAATTATATTAAATTATAAAATAAGAACTCTTTTTTTTGGTTTCCCACCTGGTATCTAAGGCTTCACCCCGACTACTCCGGACTTGACCAGCTGTGGCGCACCAGAATGATGGGTGGGTCTCCCAACGAAAACTGCTGCGTACACAAGGTTTCGAACTCGAAATCTTGTTGAAGCTAGAACAAATCGCTTGCCACTTGATCCAACCCCTCGTTGGTAAAAATAAGAACTCTTTAATGAAAAGAAAGTCTCTAATATTATAAGAGTCACAATTTATTTAATGATTCATATTTTATAATTTAATATAATTTAAATTTTAAATTTTAAAAAATAAAGTAAAACATTTTGACAATATAATTTTTCCTTTTTCAAAATTTAAAATCATGAGTCTAAATTTTTTACCAACTAATTTAAGATTTTTTTTTATTGATCTTTTAGTATTCTGTAATCATATTAAATTATGATTGATGTAAAATTAAATTAGATCAAATTTTTAAAAAAAAAATTCTCTCAATACTTATTTTTTTATTTAAAAAATTTAAATTCAAAATTTTATTTAAAAAAAATAAACCTTTTCAGTGAGACCAATATGTACATCTTTTAAGATCTGATCGATAAAACCTGAGAAGAACAAAAAAAATAGTGCGCGAATTTAGTAGCACCCATGCAGGAAGCTGAATTGGACCAAAATGAACCGGCAGTGCAGATCCCTAGGCTACGTACCAGGGGACAGGTAGAAACTACGCTGATGTGTCCCCTCTATTTTATCTTTAATAAAAACGGAAACATACAGAAACAGAAAACCGAAAAAGCCTCAACGCTCCTCCTTTCTCTCCTCTTTCCTTTTCTTTGCTTTTACTCAATTCCCAGAACTTTTGCCACCGATTAAGGACTCAAAATATCGGGAACATCAAGAGACCAATCTCTGTCTCACTGTCACACTCGACACGGGTATGCCTTATCTTCTTCCTTTCATTGATAATTTTGATGAAAAACTACACACTAGAAGCAATTTTCTCCTTGTTTATGGTTAAAGAGGAAGTGGGTTTTGGTTAAACAATCTTGTAATTGGCCCTTTTGGATTCCCATTGTTATGGGTTTTTGCAGAAGGTGAGACTGTTGCATTTATGACAATCTTTTAAGAATTTGCCGATTTTCTGATCAGGGTTTGCCATCTTTTTCTACCAGAATTAATGTACTCGATAATGTCAATAGGTTAGAGTAGATAAAATGCTGCTAATACAATAAATGAGTGTTTGCATTTATGGAATTTGGTCTGCATTATGGCGTAATTTCATAATCCTGTCTGGTTGATGAGGAGATGCAGAGAAATTGAATTCTGTATTTATGTTTTTTGCTTTAATTTACAACAAAATGCGAAATTTCTTAGTTCCTGTTTTAGTCATGTGTGGATATGTAGTTGCTTGACTAGAGTGTTCATTGTTAATGATCTTGAGGCAATCAAAACATTGTTCTTTGTTTGTTTTCTAATTTTCTTCCAAAATCTTGATATGGAGGGATGTATCTTGGTGTTCTTGGGCAGGGCTTGTCATTGAAGTGAAGTGGAAAGGAAAGCGCAGAACTTTTCAATTGTTGTGTGATGGCGGAAAGGAAATTGAATTTGAATGCACCTCTTCTATCTGTGAGGCGGTCTTCTTCAACACTAGCATCTTCAAAGGGTGAGAAGGGGAATGCAAAGGGAAGATCTGTCTTGGATAGACGATATTCTCTTCCTGTCTATAAGTCAGTTGTGAGTTTGGATCAGGTAGCAGAACCTGGTACAATCCCTTTCATGTGGGAGCATATCCCTGGGAAAGCCAAAGGTGGTGTTAAGCCTGAGTCTAATCATTCTGAACAGGCTTCTGTTACTCCTAGACTACCTCCAGGGAGGGCCTTGGATGTTATAAGGTATCCTTTGGAGAAGGAATTTGAAAATCAAGATGTGGTTAGGTCCCCTGATGGAACATGTTCTGCCAATGATAATGTGGATAAATTTGGGTGTTCAAGAGGGGGAACAGATAGGAGATGGCGCTCTGACCAGTCAGAACATGATGAGGATGTTTATTCAGATGCACTTGATACACTGTCCCCAACAGATTCGTTATCCTTGAATTGTAGTATAAGTGGTCTAAGTGGATCAGGTGATTCAGTTGTGAAACCATCAGGGGCCTTCTCCATGGATTCACAAACTTGTGATTTCATGATGAGTCGTTTCTTGCCTGCTGCCAAGGCAATGGCCTTGGAGCCACCCCAGAATGCTTTAAAGAAACAACCTCCACCAGTTGAACAACCAAGAGAGGCTAAGCAAGTGGTTGCTGGGGATAGGAAGCCTGCTGTTAATCAGTGTGAATCAATTATCATACCACACTATGACCAATGGGTATATGAAGAAGAAACTGAATCTGAAGGTGGTGACTATAATGCTTCTGGCAATTTAACAAGCAAAGGTTGTGGGTTGTTTCCTCGGTTGTGCTTTAAGAACTCTTTGTGTCTCTTAAATCCAGTCCCAGGATTGAAGGTTAGGACCCACTCCCCCATATCTTCTTCATCTCTGATCAGAAAACTAGAACCAGGCAAAGCTGCTTACAAGGAGTCTCGTAGCCAAACTGTCAAGAAGGTTACTATAAAACTCTTCTTTTTACCTCGGTTACCATTTAGTTCTCTTACAATAACTAAAAAATCTCATTATTTGCTAAATGTTCCATTTTATTTTTTTTTTTTTTTTTTTTTTTTTTTTTCTTCAGCATGCTTGGAATGCTGCTTATAAGCTAAAATTAGATAGAGGCGTTCAATCCCCCAAGCTACCAAGGATTGAGAATAAGCTGACTTCTGCATCAAGTCATACTAATTCATGTGTTAGGCAGCCAAAATTAGCTGGTGGAGCTCAATCACACAAGCTACCAAGGGTTGAGAATAAACTGATTTCTGCATCAAGTCTTGCTAATTCAAGTGATCGGCAGCCAAAATTAGATAGCGGAGCTCAATCCCCAAAACTCCCTAAGATTGGGAATAAGTTGACTCCTGCATCAAGTCAGTTTCCTAAATCAAGTGAACAGCAGATATCAAGGAGTTCATCTCCCTACAGATTTGCAGGGGGAAGCCGCATTTCACCCTACCGGAGGGAGAGACCTCAGTCTCCCTTTCGTGGAGGGGGGTTCCTTGGTGTCCCTAAAGTAGCTGAGAACATCAAAGTAAATATGTTGAATAAGGATGACAGAATCAGTAACAAGTATCGAGCATTGTCATCTCACCAGAGTTTTAAACAATGGCAGCCATCAGGCCCTGCAAGTTCTGCAGAGAAGACATCGTATGTCAATACTGAGATCTTTGCTGAACTATCATCCGCCCATTCCAATTCCTCTGATATCAAGGGTCAGATGGAATATTCAGGCAAGTCTTCCGAGGTTTTGTTAGGAAGAAGAGTTCTGGAAGAAACTGGAACTTTAGAATCTTCGTTGGAAGGTATAAAATGCTTGAATATTTCAGAGAAAAGTAAAGTATCAGAACATGACCATGGATCTATGGATTATAAGCAAACGTCTTCCTCTGACATGCCTAATATCAGAGGGCAGGCAAAAATGATGAGGTGCTTAAAGCATGATGGAGGAATTGATCAAGAAACAAAGGCCTTAGAGTGTATAAAAGTTGTTGTGTATGAGAATCTCAATCTTAGCACTGACAATGAGTTAAAAGCAGATGATCAAGGAGAATGCAAGGGTGTTACTGATCCATCTCCCCCACCTTTACCAAAAACACCCTCTGAGTCTTGGCTTTGGCGTACCTTGCCTTCAGTTACCTCACAAAATCCACTTATGCGGACTTATACTGGCACTAGATTTCGTGCTAAAAGGGAGGAACCTAAAGCTGCATCTACCAATTCCACGTGGGAAACAATTGTTAAAACTTCTTATTTGCATCATGATCATGTACGCTATTCTGAGGTAACATCATTGTTCAACATTCTTTTATATGATAAGAGAGTTGGAGTTTACTGTTTCACAAAAAAGACTAACTCCTTTTTTGCCTCATTTCAGGAATTAGTCACTCATGTCTCTCAGCAACCTAGAACATAGAAATGTGGAGAGCTGATTCCATTGAACTCACTAGCTCTGTTTAGAAGCTTTGATTCAGTATGGTGGTAAAATGTCATTAAGATCTTATAGCCTATCATTCTTGGCGAAATGGGGCTACCCTAGCCCATTGAGTGCTCTACCTCAAGCCCTTGACATTTCTGCTCATTTTCTCCTCCAATTTTTGTGTCTGTTTGTACTAGGCAAGTGGTTTCCAGTGTGCTTTGATTCTTGCTATTGCATAGCTTGTGATTTCTTTCGATCAGTGTTGGCTGAGGCAATGAACATCAGCTATATCAAGTGAAATTAAAAATCATTGTATTTTGAGCTTCAATTCTATTCGTTCCTTGTAGCATTTGTCTTCTTGCCCAGGAATAAACCTTGTACTCTTATGAACATAATTGCTTTGCTTACTAGTAAACAATATCTCATCTGAATTTTCAAATGATAGCCTTTGCATAACAGTTTAGAACTTTAAGTGCTTTAGTAGTGTTCATTAGTAGAGCTGATTCATGCAATAATTTATTTCCTTTTTTTTTTTTTTTTCTCACACCAAGACTGCTGATTTATATGCTTTTAACAGGGAAAACGTTCTGTTTTGCTTTACTTTCACATTGCCTGCATAAGGATATTATGTGGTAGGGAATGCTAGTGGCTTGCTTGCAAATGTTGCAGGCTGATGCGTCCATGAATGGGTTCAGACAACACTAACCTGAAGGAATTTGGTTTTCTTTTTATGGAAATTTGAAGCTTCTCCCTCAACTAATGTGATTGGGGCTTACCATAAGTAAATGAAGGGGTGTGAATGAATCTCCACTGGGTTTTAATACCCTCCCAATTCAGAAGCTTCTATTACTTCTACTTGGACTGAGAATTCTCAAAAGGCCCAGATGTTAAATAGGAACCCAAGCTTAGTATCTGACCCAAGTATATATATATATATATATATATACACTGTATGTATATATATAAATAAGAAAGATAAATCTCTCATTTTCCAAATCTCTCATCACTTCTCATTTGAATTTAAGAATTTTAACATGAGAATTTAAATTTTTAACTATTTTTTTATCGGCCATAAATCCAAATTCTTAACTATACATTATAATAACATCCACTAAGGTATAGGCATATCCTTGATTCTCTTGAAATTGAATCCATACTTCTTTAATGGTTAAATAACTGCTATTTTTAATTATCAGAAAATTACATTGTTGGATTAACAATGGTTGAAATTATGCCACACGAACATAATTGAGAATTCTATTATAAACTTTCCTAGCTAGCTAGGGTTTTAGCTACATGCAAAACTGAGGCTTAATGGCCTAGGGACAATTTTTTTTGATAAAAAAATATAGTTATATTAATAATTAAAACAATTACAATGCAGATCATACCTCACTATCTAAGCTATGCAAGAAATATAAATAAGTCAAGAAAGACCTATGACATTAACATATAAAACTAAGTGTTCTCTACAAATGAGACAATTAAATATTGAAAACCTCTAAAAACTAACATATATTATAAGACTATCAATAGAACTATGTATAAACATAAAAAAATTACCAACGAGGGGTTGGATCAAGTCGTAAGCGGCTTGTTCCAGTTTAAGTAAGATCTCGAGTTCGAGACCTTGTGTACGCAGCAGCCCTCGCTAGGAAACTTACCCACCATTTTCAGGTACGCGACGCGGGTTGGGTCCGGATTAATCAGGGCAAAGCCTCGGATATCAGACGGAAAACCAAAAAAAAAAAAAAAAAAAACATAAAAAAATTACTTTAAAACTTTACGATTCAATCCTAACATAGAAGAGCAGGAAGCACGACAATACAATATCTCTCCTCACAGCAATGCTTAGCCAATTCCCCTTTAATACTGTTAACATGTTGGTGGATGGAAAGCATCCTCTAGATTAATTGTAAGAGCAGTTCCTGAGTTGTTAAGTAATACCTTCAATGCTCAAGGACAAATTAAGTGCTAGAAAGATCTCACTTCCCACTGTGTTCATTAGTACATATAGTCAGATCCTTAAGAGTACTCAACCTCATTAGGCCATGTGTGTTGCCAACCTATATATGCATATGTCGCAGTTCTTACAAATTCCCCCTTTTTCTTTCTTTTTTTTTTTTTTTTGTTTTGTAAGTTGGGTCTAAGAAAGAGAGAGCTTAGTACTAATGATTTCCTTTGCACCTTTACATTGTGTCTTCTCATCATCTTCAACGCCAACTCCTTGGCACAGTCTTAGTTGTAGGTCAGGTAACCATTCGTTGCTCTTCTGCGCTCTATCCTGCTTCAACTGCATTAAAAAGAACACAAAAATTAGTTGCTAGAAAGAAAGATTTCACGAGTATTAATGATTTTAGTTGTCATGGTAGTCGAATTAGATTAATTATGTACCTCAAACCATAAGGGGGTCTCAAAGTCTTGCTTAAAGCTACTAAATTTGTGCAAGGAGTCGTGTGTATCGGAAAGGAATTGCCTCACCATTTTGTTGTTTCCAAGATTTGCTTCATTTGAGCTTGGAATTGTAAAGGTTTCCTTGGTCACATTCCCGTTGAATCTCCATCTATTGTTAATCATTTCCAATGGTGGCCACTTCTTCTCCTCAAAAAACCGGGGAGGTCTCATGGGGCCAATTCGCATTGCTGTGTCCATTGGATGAATTTGGTTTGGCTGAGTCCCTTGAATGTGAGAGCTAGTTGAGTTGAAGAAGCCATAACCAGATTTGAAATCTAATGATCTGTGGGAGAAGGGAGATTGATATTGGGATTCTCTTGTTAGAACAATTCCACCGCTCTCCATTTTGAAGTGTCTATGAGGGCTCGAGGAAAATTGGTGCAATATGCTTCGAATACCATCTCTTCCTCGGAACGATCTATAATGTTGGCCTAGTACTGCACCACAACAAAGCAAGGTTTAATCATTTCTATGACTTCAAGAAAACTTGATCTGCTGATTAGGGTTTTTTAAGTTACCATTTTGATCTTAATAATTGGCCTAGCTTGATAAGATCACAAATTCAATAATTTGTATATATATTTTGCTATATGCATGTTTGTCATATAGCATTGCAAGATAGTATCATAACAAGATGCTCTTATAGACACTAATTAATTAAAATGATTATAATATTATGAAAAGTTTTAACTTCAAATCTCTCTAATCTCCACTCACAAAATATATATAATTGTTGTGAAAATTGTTTAAAAAAAAAAGAGTATTGCTTAAATATATAAATCTCACCTTGTCCAGCCTCATCAAGCTTCTTACTTCTATACATCTGGGGAGTATAATGTAGGATAATCAATTAGTAGTAAATATATATATATAATTATAATTTAATAATGGCTAAAACAAGATGCAAATTATATCAACGATTAATATCATATTATTATTAACCTAAGTATTCAATATATACCTGCAAGTGACTCTTTACATGTGCAATACTAAGTCCCCTCACATTCATTAACTGAAGAACTAACTTTGGAGTTGCTTCTGCAACAAAAATCAAAATTCATTTAATATAATCATTAAAAAAATAAAATTGGTAAAAATGATCAAATTTAAAAATTATAATTAACACAAAAAATTACAAATTTGTAGACAAAAACAATTATAAATTGGTAGTTTTAGCTTTTAGCCCAATTAAAGTTAATTAAAAGCTAAAAACAACTTTTAAAAAAGAGAAAAACTCTTCTTAGAAAAATTACTTTTCATCTAGCTTCAATCCCAAAACAAGTAGCTGATTATGTATGTGACTCCATTTGCTAAGATTGAAAAGAGATGAATAGGTAATGGAGCTTACTCTCTTGGCCACCAAGTCTTTCAACAGCATGAACAAAAGAGAGATGAAGGTCAGGAGTCCACCGGAGACGAGGCAATTTTGACCTTACATACTGCCTGACTGCCTTTCGCTCACCTCTTCCCTCACTAATATTGTTATTGCTGGAACTCCCCTCCGTTCTCTCCTCGTCGTCTTCGTTGACCTTGGAAATGCCATGATCCTCGTCATTACTGTTTGCTTCTTCATTCAAGTCAAAGGATGAACACTTCTGCGAATAGTCTGCAGATATTTCCTCACTACTCATCCCTTCATATTTTTCTTCATCATGGACCTCTATGCCTTCTGTCATTTCTTTCTTATAACTATTTACTCCTGAATTCTGGTTTTCCTCTCAGAAAAAAATTGAGAGGGTGATAAACATTAGAACATCTTTATATACTCGCAGATCAATATCATCAAATTAAGATGTGCTGCTAATTGATATTTAATTAAAAAATATATCTATAATTTTAATCTGTACGTTTCATAGTAGCATCACATGGTAAGTTAATAACTAGTACTCCCCAACATTTACTTTGATTTTAAACATTTCATCTGCACGAAGTGATTGATTTGATCTTATTTATGCATCAACTTTTTAGGTGGTGGGATTAACTACTCAAACTAAATGCAGAATGTGCAAGAGCTAGTATTTGTTAGGATATTTATTGGTGAAAGAAAAAATAGAATATGTACTATTTTATCATCTATACCAATACAAATTGATGAATTTGGATTAAAGAAGAATGTGGTGTTTTTAAACTTGTTGAATTTTTATTTATGCGCAAGGAAATTTAGATGATATGTGTGATCACAACAATAAAGGAGGAGTAAAAAATGGATTTAAAAAATATATATAATACTAAATGTTGCTAAATAAAAGGGAAGTTCTTCTGTCATATACATACTTACTGCTTGCCAAACCTTCAGTTATTTTTTGTTATCTGTATGATCTTTAGACAATATTTGCTGATCCTGCAAACTAAATGGTAAGGAAAATAAAATTGTAAGTACGGTAAACAAAAACGATATGGAGCATGAAATAACTAAAATTAGAGCTGCCTATTTATATATGTGGGAGATATATATCAGAGATGAATAAATGGAAGATCTGTGTTTCCCAAGAAAATCTTATCATAAAGCTCTCTTTCCACAGTTCAAACCATGAATTTTTTTTTTTTCATTAGAAAATTTAAGGGGAAGGTGGACTCACCCCTACCTAAAGCTTGAATAGCTAGATATTAGGAACAACGTGCCCTTGATTAGGCAGATTAATTAATTATATGGGTAGGATAGCACAGGAATCCGCATAAATCAGTTTGTTTAAAAGAAAAAGAAAAAGAAAGAAACAAATCATCTCTGAAGAAAAAAGCACCACGATTCTGGGGGGTTTTTTTTTCTTTTCTTCTGTAAAATTTAGGTCAGGAGATTGAGAAATGAGATATGAGAAATGAGAAATGAATTTTCTTAAAGACAAAAGTATATTTGAGAAATTAATGATGTCTGAAAAGAAAATCTGGAAAAACTGGTGTACATCTTTCATATTCATTTCCAAAGTTCTTGCAGAAAACCCTTATCGATCTCCTGTCTTTAAAAATCAGAAGGAAGTCAGAAAA